GACGGCACATAACAACAACAACAACAACAATATAGCACTATATCGTCGTCTTCTTGTTGTCAAAGCGGTGTCTTAGGAACTTTTCAAATTAACCAATGGATACTGAAATCATCCTAGAAAATTTGTTTAATATAGAAACTTTTATTTTGCATTTCATAAACCCACAATATAGCACAATACAGATAAGGCAACACAATACATTTTTCTTTAATTGAACTATGATTAGGATGTAAAATAGAAGCATGATACAAGTAAATTATAACAATGTATAGCACATAGCCTAGTCATAAAGGTGAATTTTCGATTGCTGGGCAAAACTTGTAATACCAGATTTTTCTTCTCTTGAATTAATCTTTTTACTCTCTACTCTCTTGTTTTCTGTTCTCTCTCTTGCCTCCCTTCCATTTAACCTTCTCGACAAATTTAAGGGCTCAGATAAAATGTCTTATTCCTCCTCCTTTACACATACTGTCTTGGTTATCTAATGCTGCTATAAAAGCAACATCACAAGTACATGGCTTTATCAAGGAGAAATGTATTCTCTTAGAGTTGGTTGTTGATAGGTGCCATCAAGTTAGCTACTAGCATTCTGTGAACAACAGATCTGAACCTTGCCCTATCCTGTGACATCCTCATGTTGTCTATCCTGCTGAAGGCCATTGTAATAGTCACTATGTCAACCCATCTCATTGATAGTCGTCTTTTACTGACCCTCGACTGTTTCAAATATGAGGTCCTAAAGTTTAAGAGGCTAGAAATCTGAAGGGCAGGATACTAGCTCAAGAAGAAGCCCCCCCCCCCGCCCCCTTTCTCTTGGTTGTAGAAGAAAGTTCTTGAGTCCTTTTTAATCTGTAGGCCGGGTGGAACACAGAACTTTATTTGCTCAGTCTTTCCCTTGTGTCTAGTAGTATCATTTTACATGAATTCATGTCCAGAAAGACACACTCCATACCTGCAATTGTTTCTGAGTGATATTAAGGGTCCCCCTTTAACGGGCTCAATTTTTTTCTGTTTTAGCCTTAGTGAAATAAAGATATTACCACATAGGAATAGAGTGTTGCATCCTACCCTTAAAACTACAGTGATTTTGTTTAGCAGATGGAGAATCATTACCTAGGTTCCACATTATCTCTTTTTTTACAGGAAGCATAATTTAGTCCATGACAGATACTGATATTTGTAGAGCGAGCTCTCTCTCGTGCGCTCTCTCTCTCTCTTTTTATTCTTTCTACATTTCCAGAGAGTTCTGTAGAACTTTCTTCTTACTGATCTTACTTCTTTATTTCATCTTACTTGTTTTTAAGAGTGTTGCTTTCTTGTGTAGCATCATTATTATCTATCCATTCTCTTTTGTATACTTGTCACCATCTGAACAATCTAATTTACTCCTTCATTATTATCTGTTTCCACACTCTGGAATGTTTGGCTGATTAAAGCAAGGGTTTTGCTTATCTTGTTCATTATGGTTTCCCTTAATGCCTAGAAGAGTATATAGAATACAGGAGAGTTTAGTAAATGAAGAACTGATAACTTCAGGATGAGTAAATTCTGGGCATTTTAAAAGGCCTGTAGTGGGTTTTAGACATGTGCAACTGATTGAAATTAATTCTTGCAAGATGCAGTCATGAAGGAATGAACTACCTTTATAGACTGTGGCTTCAGAATTGATATCAACAATCTGTGTAATTCAGGGATAAATCTTTTCTTGCAAAAAATGAAGATTCATGTGGAAGATTAAAGACTAGAGTGTTCCATAGAAGTTATCGGTAAACCCCAAGAAAACAAATCCTCACACTGGTACCAGTATACAACTTAATGATAGATGGAGAATGGCTTGAAATTGTTAACAGTTTCTTTTTACATGAATCCTCTTTACACAGTCACTACTCATGGTAGTAGCAGTCAAAATATCAAAAGACATATTGCATTGGGGAAACCTGCTCAAAATGCTACAAAGGAAGGGTTTTATTTTCAAACTGAGGTGTGCCTGATGAAAACCAGGTCTTTACAGTTACTTTCTAGCTATCTGAAAATTGGACAATGAATAAGGAAGACCAAAGAAGAATCAATGTCTTTGAATTATGGTGTTGGTGACAAGTACTGAATATCCCAATGCTGCTAAAAGAATAAGTCTGTCTTGAAAAGAATGTAACCAGGTTGTTTGTAGAGGTAGCAGTAGTGAAATTTGGTCTCACATGCTTTGGGCATGTTATAAGAAGTGGCCAAGTCCATGGTGGGAAGTGGAGTGATAGAAAAGATGAAGACCTTCAACAGGTTTAGCTGACAAAGTGAGTGTAATGGTTTGAGCTAGATAGCGATCATGTTGATAGTGCAACACAGGGACAGGTGCAGGTGTGTTGGTCATAAAGTTGATATGATTTGTAGTTGACTCAAGGTACTTAACAACAAAGAAATGAGAATCATTTACGTGGTATATCCTCTATCATATTTGGCAGTAGTTCAGAGATTGAATAAAGTAAACAAATTTATAATCCAGTAGTGATAAAATGGTTAGTGGTAAATTATTGGAATTTTTTTAAAGTACTAAGAAAGCATCATATATTTTGTGTATTGTTATCTCTGCTGATTGTATTGTTGAGGTCAATATCATATAGTTATCAATGCCAACTACTAACTGTCTTAATTTTTAATCACAATGTCTGTTGAGAGGTTATATATAGATAGGCAATCAGAATAAAATTTTCTTGAACTCAATTATAAAGAAATGGTAAATATGGAAATATTTGTATTTTGTGATCATTTATTTAGCTTAAACTATTTAAAAATGGATTTTATCGTTGCATAATGCAGACCGACATCAGAAAGGTTGTTAATTTTGGAATTTTGCTGATGTGGTAATGATACCTACAAATTAAAAATATTAGCTTTGCAGGTTTTTGTCTTTCAACAGTACTTTGGAAATGTTAAATACCTTAACTATAATATACAGCTTTGTCATCAGTGCAAAAGAACAATATGAGAAACTTTCAAAATTACACGAGAACATGGAAAAGTTATACCAGAGTCTAATGGAATACTATGCTATAGATGGGAAGAAGGTTTCCGTGGAAGACTTTTTATCTGACTTGAATGACTTCAGAACCACATTCATGGTATGTTGAAAATAATAAAAAGAACTACTTGTTTTTCCAGAAATTTTCTATTTCTAATGCCTTGTTTATCATTATTTTATTCTAATGTTATTCTTGTAACAAACTCACCTTTCTGGTGTTTAAATTTACTTTAAAAATTTTTAGATTTCAATCTCTTGGGAAAAAATGTGTATTCTGTTCTGCCTTGGTCTTTCAGCTTTAAACTGTAATCAGGATTTTTAACTGAAAAAGTGACAAATTCTGAAGTTCTTCATAAAAGCCCCCTCCTAGCTGATTATAGAGCGCTTTTGTCCTAACTTTTTGGTGATGGATTTGTTTCTTTATACTTAAGATTCAATTTGTATTTTGTGGTATAATTTTACCAAATTCTCTGCAGCTCTTGTGAAGCTTTTTTCCCCCTTTTCTTTTCTTAATGCATTGTACAATAAGCTACCTGTGATTTGCCTTTGAATGGATTTCATATTCCTAGGGTTTCCTTTAGATACTTTAATAGAGAGGTCAGGTCTTTGATGTGGAATCCTTTCATTTAGGCATTAAAAAGATCTTTTGAAAGGTATTAGCTGATTAGATGGGGGGAAAAAAGCACACACATATTAAAGCAAGAAAGCAGTGTTGTCTCCCTAGGGAAATGGTTGATACATTTCTACAATGAAAATTTATGTTATCCTTAATAGGTGGGTAAGTCATTTCTGTATTTCAGCCAATATTTCTGTGGATTAAAAAGTTTTGAGACGTAAAGAGAAAGGTTCCTTCAAGACATGGTTCTTTTTCAGTCTCCAGTAACTTTTATAATGAATTTATTAGACTTTGTCATGAGTACTTATGATTAGCTAGCCTTTGTATAAAATTTCCAATATTTTAAAGAAAAATTCATTTTCAATAAATACACTTTTACTCAAAGTTCAGCTTGTTTTCTAACCCTAATTCAAAATGGCTCTTTAATTTCTTTTTCAATACTAGAAATATTTTGTTAATGATTTTATTTGTGACTTATCCACCCTATCTGCAGATACTATATAACTTTTCAGTTCTATGATGCAGCATGGCTCACTCGACGCTTGGAAATCTGAGATTTAGATTTGAGTTCAGGGTTAGTTCTATGACTATGAAAATGTATTTGACAACTTCCATGAAGCATGATTTTCTTATTTGAAAATGAGATGCTATGTCTTTTCTAAAAAGAATGCTTACCTACCAGATGTTGTTGTGTACTGTCGAGTGAGAATTCAATCTCTGACCACGTGTAATTCTCGCATTGGAGGAGCTTGTCCATCGAAGCAGCTGGTGACCTTGCCTTCAGGATTTCAGTGATACTGCTAGCTACGTGGCCTCGAAAGCTCCCTACCTATTGTTGTTGTTGTTGTTGTTAAGTGCCATTGGGTCATAGACGACTCTGCGACCCTGTGAACAAAGAAATGATGAAAGTTATACAACTGTTCAGTCTTGCTGAGTCGTCTATGACTCGATGGCACTTAACAACAACAACAACAACAATAATAGGAACAGTTGTATAACTTTAATCATTTCTCCAAGTTCATAGCGTTTCCAGAGGCAAGCTATTTTGAAAATGGATGCAACTCCTGCTTCCAAGCTTATTTTAATCGGGGAGTTCCACCAAACTCTGTCCACCATGGGTAACCATTATAAAATTTTACACCAGTGTCACAGTGTTCAGCATCACAGCAACTGTGAGTTAACTCTGTACAGCAAATGGACAGACCAGTGCTATACCACTCAGAAGAATATTTGACCAAAAACAATTAAAACCAGGCCTGAGGGCTGCAGATTAAAATCACCCACCTTTTGACTTGTTAGCATAACTTTCTATCCACCAGGCCCACAGAGCTCTCTCTATGTTGTTGTTGTTGTTAAGTGCCTTCGAGTCATAGACAACTCATAGCAATCCTATGAACAAAAGACCTGAACAATATAAAATGTATCTATTAGATGAGATAATAGTTACTATATCCCACTGGCTACTGGGGAGGATAAAGATGAGCAGTCTCCTCTCATAAAGATTTGCCTTCTTTGAAACGCCATGGAGCATTCTCAGGAGTCAGAACCAACTTCACAACAGTCAGTTGGGGGTGGGAATCATAAATTATAAGGAACCCTGGTGGCACAATGAGTTATGTGCTTGACTGTTACTCTTAAAAGCCTGCCTGTCCAAATCTTCCAGCCTCTCCAAGCAACAGGAATGGACAGTCACTTTCCATAGAGATTTACAACTTGGACCTAATGGAAAGTTACCATGAGTCAGGTAACTCAGTGACTGCAGTTTACAGTTTAACACAGATGGAATCTTCTGTATGACCCACACATACTTCTAAATTCCTGACGTGTCTTACCTCTTTTGATCTCCACAGCACATCTACAGATTTCAGTTACTATTTCTATGATAAATGAGGAAATTGAGAATCAGAGGTGGAAGAAACCTAATTACCTGCAAAATTATAAACTAGGATTTGAACCCATTCTGTGTTAGACTGCCTTCTGGGTGCTATACAGTTTATGCTCCATTTTACAAGAACAGTGATATTTGAAAGGTTCCCTAGTGGAACCAAGTTGGGATTTAGATCTAGACCTTGCGTTAACTCTTCCTTGAGATCCAACAGTAGACAGTTTTGGACAAACTGTAGGAAAATGAGATTTCTCATATTCCATGGTACATGGAAGGAGAAAGTAGGGGAATAGAAGAATGGCTCCAACAGGAAGGTTATAGATATACTTTGTCTAAGAAAACCTAGTGATGCTGTTGGCTAAATATTGAGCTACTAACTGTCTGAACCCACTAGCCCCTCGGTGCTGAGGCAGAGAGAAAGCTGAGGTATTCTGTTCTTCACCTTGGATGACTTATGGGGCAGTTCTACTCTGTCTCCCAGAGTCACTACATCAGAATTAACTGTAGTGAGCTATACGCATTTTTTATACTTGGTTTACTTCAGAGTTTGCCTGATTTCTCTCACTAGGTACTATCTCATATGCATAATCACACACAGCCCATATTTTATAAGATTTACATTGTAGAACTATAAAAAGATTCAACTAAATTGTAATTTTCACATAAATTTTTAGTTAGGATAAAATTAGCGTAAAAATGTGTACACAAACAAGTGTTAGTTATGTGAGGTAATAAAAATTTTATCCAGATATTTTATTGTTCCTCTCAATTCTCTCCTCCCTCATTTTTGGAAATACTGATGATCCTTGACTTACAACAAGGTCCTATATTTCTTGGTTTTATTAATTTCTGTTTGCTGTAATATGTCAATTCGTATTCTATCTATTGCTAAGGCCTTGTTTTTTGCCTTCAGAGCAATCTGAACTTCATCCTTTATCAACATTGCCTCTTGATCATATGTTGTTTCATGAAATCCTTCTGTGTCAGCCTTTTTCTTTTTTTTTCTTTTTTTTTTATATGCAGTGACTCTGTGTACTCCTTCCATCTTGTGATGCTTCCTGGGTCATTCATAATTCTGCCCATAGCATCCTGAGATATTACAACTCAAAGCTTGAATATGTTCTTCAGTTCCTTCAGCTTAAGACATACGGAGCAAGTTTGTCTCTTGATTTTCTAACTTCAGCTCTTTGCACATTTCTTTAAAATACTTTGCTTTGTCTTCCTAAACTGCCCTTTTTTGTTCCGTTCCTTAACTTCTTCATTCTTCTGACATCCATCTTGGTCTTTTCTTTCTCCTCTTTTTAATGACTATTTGCGTTTTTCATGGTTGATATTCTTGATATCCTCCCACAGCTCATCAGGTATTTGCTCATTAATGTCCAAAGCCTCAAACCTATTCCTGAGGTGCTCTTTAAATTCTGGTGAGAAAGACTTGAGGTCAAATTTTCTTTTTTGTGGATTTGATTTTATTTTCTTTAGCTTCAGTTTGAAATTGCATGTGAGTAGTTGATGATCTTTTCCACAATCAGCAGCTAGTTTTCACAGCTGATATTGTACTTTGCCACTGTTTTTTCCACAGATGTAGGCAATCTGATTGCTATGTAGACCATCATGTACAGTTACCGTTTATGTTTTTTATACAAGGTATTTGCAATGAATAAGTCACTGACAGAACAAAAATTTATCATTCTATCTCCAGCCTCATTTCTGTCACCAAGTCCATGTTTTCTGACTACTGATCTTTCCTCGTTGTTCCCAACTTTTGCATTCCAGTCAGTTATTATAATGTTCTTGGTTACACATTCAATCAATTTCTGACTGCAAAATGTGGTAGAAATCATCTATTTATTCCTCTTTCGCTCTGGTTGTTGGTGCAAATATTTGAATTAAAATGGTATTCAACAGACTTCCTTGTATGTATATGGATATTATCCTGTCACTCACAACATTTTCAAGATGGATCTAAAAATAACCTTTTTTTACTATGAAAGCAACCCCTCTCCCCTCACCTTTTCATCTCTGGTGCAGTAGATCATATGATTGTCTAATTCAAAATGTCACATACCAACCCATTTCATATTGATTGTTCCAATCAATAGTTTCTATTTGCAACTGATTCCTCCTTCTCTGTGATTCTCAGTAGGAAGGCTCTGCCTCCTGTGCCGTATCTCCTAGTCTCTACTCTAAATGTGCACTTTTATACATAAAGGTTTTCTTTCAGAAGTGAATAGCCAATCCTTCTCCCTAGTCTGTCTTAATTTGAGTGCTTGACTCAAGAGCAATATATGACAGATAAGAATTTTGCCCAAAAGAGCTTATGAGAGCCCTTCCCCAGTATTCAAGTAATGGATCAGGTATTAGTCCCCCACCCCACCCCCTTAGGCACCTGTATTTTGTTCCCACCTCTGCCCTTGCTATGCTATCATCTAGCTGAGTTCCCTCTCATTGCCCCTTCATCCCCCCCCCACCACCACCACCCCAGCCAATCCTACTTTGATGGGTACACCCACCTCTGCCCACTGACTTCCTCTCCACTCCTGTGATGTTGATTTCACTGCTCTGGATACAATTACTAGGTTATGCCATAAATATAGAGGAT